CTCTATGTTAAATTATTTTAGGAACCGCCATGCTGTCTCCCACGGTGGCTGAAGCATTCTACATTCGCACCCACGGTGCCCGGGGTATCTCCCATGCTCACCAACACTTCTGAGTTTCTTCTTTGGTGGTTGCCATCCTAACGGGAGTGAGGTGGTCTTGATTTGCATTTCCTTAGCGACCAGTGATATGAAGCATCTTTTCACGTGTGGCTCATTCACTTTTTCTCTCTGTTATTTTTTTTTTTATTTTTAAAAAAAAATTTTTTTTTTCAACGTTTATTTATTTTTGGGACAGAGAGAGACAGAGCATGAACGGGGGAGGGGCAGAGAGAGAGGGAGACACAGAATCGGAAACAGGCTCCAGGCTCTGAGCCATCAGCCCAGAGCCCGACGCGGGGCTCGAACTCACGGACCGCAAGATCGTGACCTGGCTGAAGTCGGACGCTTAACCGACTGCGCCACCCAGGCGCCCCTCTCTCTGTTATTATTAACACATTCCTCTGACAGCGTAGGTCTAGCTTCTGTACACTTAACATGAGCAAGCCTCCTGTATGTGATCTGTTCCCCTTTCTGCCACCACCTCCTCACCCCTGCGAAGACCCGTGTGCCCTGCTCAATCTCTCTGACTCTGCACAGGAAGCTGCCCGCCGTGCGAACGCCCTCCTCGCCCTGCCTGAACTCTGACCCTCACGATGAACCGCCACCAGGGATGCCTGCACTGCTCAGTCCCGCCAAATGGCTTCAGGACTGAAATGTCTCAAGAGGGAAGGAAGAGGGACAGGAAGAAGAAGAAGGAAGAAAAATATCTTTGGTGGGGTGTTTTGTTGATGAACAAAGTTCTAAATTGTTTTTTAAACATTTTATTTTGAAATTATTAGAGACTCCCCGGAAGTTGCAAAAAATAGTACAAAAGGTCCTGTGTGAACTTTGTCCCACTTTCCCCAGTGGTAACATCTTACACACACATAATTCAATATCGAAAGCAGGAAACTGGGGGGCCTGGGTGGCTCAGTTGCTTAAGCGTCCGACTCTTGATTTCGGCTCAGGGTGATGATCTCACGGTTTGTGATTTCCAGCCCTGCGTTGGGCTCTGTGCTGACAGCTTGGGACTCTCTCTCTCTCTCAAAATAAATAAATAAAACATGGGGAAAAAAAGTAATTTCTAAAAAATAAAAAGCAGCCTGCCAGGTCGGCGAACACCTGGAGGTGTGGAGAGAAGGCACGGAACCCCCACGTCCTTTCCGCGTACCTGGCATCTCTCCCGTGAGCCATATCCCTTTGGCCCCAAATCTGTGATCTGGTAAGTGAAATGCTTTCCTGAGTTCTGGGAGCTGCTCTATTGAGCATGCTAATCAAACCCAGGGAGGGGGTCTCAGGAACCTCTGATCTACATAGCAGATGGTCAGAAGCCCAAGTGACCGCCTGGATCCGAATCGGCCTCCAGGAGGGGCGGGGCTTTCCCGTGGGGCCTGGACCTCCACTCTGGGCTGTGACTGTCTCCAGGTAGCCAGCATCAGAATGGACTTGAACTGGGGGACTCCAGTGGGTGTCAGGGACTTTTGCTTGGTGGTGTGGGGGAACCCTCACACTGGAATTGCGTAGAATCCTAATTACTTGTCCTTGTGGAACCCTGGAAAGGACCCAAATCCCAAAGGATCGGTAACACATTTAAAGATGAATTATGCCGGTGGTTGCCTTGGGCCGGAGGGGTTAAGTGATCGGGAAGGTGATTGCTGGAAGGCACGGGTCTCTTTCTGGGGTGATGAAGGTTCCCAAATGGATTGTGGTGATGGTTGCACAACTCTGTGAATGTACCATGAACCATTCACGTGCGCACTTTTTTTTTCTTTTCTTCCAACGCCCAACGTGAGGCTTGAACTCATGACCCCAAGATCAAGAGTCACACACTTTGCTCACTGAGCCAGCCAGGCGCCCATAACCTGCACACTCTAAATGGGCAGTTGGATGGTATATGAAGGGCGTCTCAATAAAGCCATGACCATATTTTTTGCTGGAATTGAATAGAAACGACTTCAAACAGGACATGGTCACAGCACAGTGATGACAGTCAACGATACTGTATCATAAAAGTTCACAGTTGTTAGGAAACCAGATCTACTCGTCCCCACCGCACGCACGCATGGACATACACACTGTTGCACAGACAATGTTGTCTGTAGGCACATTTCAATAAAAAAAAAAAAATTTGAAGGGGTGTCTGGGTGGCTCGGTCCTTTGGGAGCCTTTTTTTTCTTTTTTAAACGTTTATTTATTTTTGCAAGAGAGAATGCTAGTTGGGGAGGGGCAGAGAGAGAGGGAGACACGAATCTGAAGCAGGCTCCAGGCTCTGAGCTGTCAGCACAGAGCCTGATGCAGGGCTCGAGCTCACCAACCGCGAGATCATGGCCTGAGCTGAAGTCGGACACTTAACCGACTGAGCCACCCGGGTGCCCCGGAAGCCCAACTCTTGATCTCGGCTCAGGTCATGATCTCACGCAGTTTGTGAATTCGAGCCCCAAGTTGGACTCTGTCCTGACAGCACGGAGTCTGCTTGGGATTCTCTCTCTCTGCCTCGCCCCTGCTCATGCTCTCTCTCTCAAAATAAACATTTAAAACATTTTTGAAGATACTCTTTAGACAGATGGAGGCGGGAAATTTCCCTCCTCAGCACTTTCCACGGGGGCGGGAGATTGTTCTGGGGGTGCTGTAATGGGGGGAGGCAGAGAGAGGGTCTTCACTTTACCTCCGTGCTCTGATGGCTGACAGAGCACCCAGGACCTGGGCAGCGTGACCGTGACCCGCAAGTAGGCCTGAGGCAAGGGCTTAAGGGAGGTACCACAGGCCCACAGGCCTCTGAGGTTGGGAAGGGCCAGTCACAGCCCCCAGATCACTCGCCCCTGACCGGGTTGCCCCCCAGCATGCATGACTTATCTGGCAGGGGGTGAGTGGGGACCCTGGCCTGAAGGTGGGGCAGATTGGAAAAATAGGGCTGGGCCCAGAGAACACAAAAATGCTGTTTCGAAGGGACACGTGCACCCCCATGTTTATAGCAGCACTATCGACAATAGCCGAAGTATGGAAAGAGCCCCAATGTCCATCGATGGATGAGTGGATAAAGAAGATGTGGTGTCTATATACAACGGATTATTACTCAGCGATCAAAAAGAATGAAGTCTTGCCATTTGCAACTACGTGGATGGAACCGGAGGGTATGATGCTTAGCGAAATACGTCAGAGAAAGACAAAAACCATAGGACTTCACTCATATGAGGACTTTAAAGATACGAGCAACGAGCAAAGCGGGGAAAAAAGAGACAAATGAAGAAGCAGACTCCTAACTACATTAAGAGAACACACTGGTGGTCACCAGGGGTGGGGGGATGGGGCAAACAGGTGACGGGGATTAACGCGTGCACCTGTGAGGAGCACCAGGTGCTGTGTGGGAGTGTGGAACGACTATGTCGCACACTGGAAACCAATACCGCACTGTAGGTAACTAACTGGAATTTAAATAGAAACTTAAGGGGCACCTGGGTGGCTCAGTCACTTGAGCGTCTGACTTCGGTTCAGGTCACGATCTCATGGTCTGTGAGTTCGAGCCCCACGTCAGGCTCTGTGCTGACAGCTCAGAGCCTGGAGCCTGCTGCTTTGGATTCTGTGTTCCCCTCTCTCTCTGACCCTCCCCCATTCATGCTCTGTCTCTGTCTGTCTCAAAAATAAATGAACATTAAAAAAATAAAAACTTAATGGGGCGCCTGGGTGGCGCAGTCGGTTAAGCGTCCGACTTCAGCCAGGTCACGATCTCGCGGTCCGTGAGTTCGAGCCCCGCGTCAGGCTCTGGGCTGATGGCTCAGAGCCTGGAGCCTGTTTCCTATTCTGTGTCTCCCTCTCTCTCTGCCCCTCGCCCGTTCATGCTCTGTCTCTCTCTGTCCCAAAAATAAATAAACGTTGAAAAAAAAAATTTAAAAAAAAAAATAAATAAATAAAAACTTAAAATAGGGAGGGGCCCTGGGGGTCCCCCAAAGCACAGCGTGGATGTAGAAGTCTCCCCACTGCTGTAAGAGTCCCTCAATGCGCAACGGAGAGCACACGCTTCATTGACATAACACGCGTCACACGTGCAGGCGTGTTTTCTGAGCACGGACAACTTCGTGGTGCTCAGCACACGTGATCGTGACTCCCCTCTCGGTATTCACCCCAAACCCTGACCGAAGGGGCCTGCTCACCCCCGTTGAGGGAGTGCTGGCATTGGAGGTCACTCCCTGGGGTCTCCTTCTTTGACCTCGTGAGGCCCCTCCCCCAGGTGCCACCTGGGTCTGGAACTCCCCGAGGGGCGGACCGGACGCACTTTGACCCTGGCGCACTGGGGGGATTCCACGTCTCATAAGCCCAGGCACCGGGCCCGCGTGAGGTTAGCGTCACTACATCGGACACCTAAAAATGGGTCATGCGGGCTCCACCTCACGGTGAGAGTTTTTACCCCAAGAATGATAATTTAAAAAGAAAGATTCAGTGCACAACACTGTGAACGTATTTAATGTCACTGAATCGTACATTCAAAAACAGTTAAGACGGTATGTTTGTTAACGAAAGAAAAAGAGAAAGGACCGTTTGTTGTCATTGTGGGCAGCCCTCCCCCGGTGCCCCTCCCCAAATACTAGAGATGGCGCCATCCCAGCGGGCACTTTACTTCTGGACACAAACTAGGGCCAGAGGGAAGGGGGCAGGTGGACATGGGAGGCAGGTGGCAGGCAGGCGGGTCCCCCCGACGCGGGTGTGGTTGAGGGGTCTGGCATCCAGAATCAGGCCAGAGGGAAGGCGGCAGGAACTTGGTGGTACGGGGGATTCTCAAGTGTCTCTGGGTGGACCGGCCCCTGCAGACAGGAGTCCAGGAGCCTGGCTGCTGTCCCCCAGGGGTTTCTCTGGCCAGGCCAGTCAGTCTGGAGGCCCAGGGCCTCGCGGGAGGGGAGGGGGCCGATACCTGCTCGTGCGAGCCGTGGTCAGCGGGACTTGAGCCTGGGGCTCTGGAAGGCGGACAGGGCAATGAGGAGCTGGGCGGCGTAGTAGGTGGTCATGACCACCAGGCGGGCGTGGGGCAGGGACTGCACGAAGGCGTCCCAGGCCAGCACCGAATCCGAGAGTGTGAAGAGCAGGGCCCCCCAGCGGGCGCTCCCGCCCCTGGCCAGGCCGCGCCACAGCATGGACGCCAGGACCAGGGAGTAGGTCACCAACATGGGGACCATGCCAGGGGGGAGGTGCAGCAGCACAAGGCCGTTGTACAGGAAGAAGGCCGGGACGATGGGCAGCAGGAGGCCTGGCCGCAGGGGAGTGAGGCCGAGGGCCCAGAGGTAGAGCAGGTGAGCCACGGTGAAGGCCGTCACGCCTGGAGGAGACAGGGGGGGTGGTGCCTGGTGGGCCCGCTTCCCCACGTGGCCACCTTGAAGTGCAGAGCCTGAGGGAAGGTCCGCCCCAGGTGCCAGCATCCACCCTGGCCCCAGCACCCGTCTGCTGGGGTTACGGTACCCGCCTCCCCGGTGCAGGTCTCGCTTCTCCCCGAGCACCAGAGTGACCTTAAAACACGCTGCATTCCATCCTCACTCCGCTTAGAACTGTCCGCTGACTCCCCACCTTGCTCTGCTCCCCACTCGCCAGCAGCTTCCCACCCCAGGGCCTTTGCACTTGCTGGTCCCTCTGGCCCATCCTTCCTCAGATGGCTCCTGCACCCTCTTCAAGACGTTACCTTCTTGGTGAGGCCGTCCTGGACCAGCTAAGGCTGCAACACGTGCAGCCCCTCTTTGTTTCCCTCCACACAACGCACACCTCCTCAGGGAACGCTGCCCGGCCCCCCCAGGGGAACGAGAGCTCCGCGAGGGCAGGGGCCTGTGCCCGTGGGCTCACCATAGAGGAAGGCCTCAGGCCAGATGAGGCAGGCGTCCCCCACAGCAGAGCACAGGAGGGCCCCCTGCAGGAGCGCCCTGTAGCCCCGGTCCGAGCGCGCCGCCCGCAGGAACACCACCAGGCACAGGACGGGCAGGCACTTGACAAGGGCGCTGATCCAGGACGGCTGGTCTTCAGGGATCCAGAGGAGGAAGTAGATGGCACAGGTGAGAAGGAACGGGCTCAGCCCCCTGCACAGGTGCAGCTGCTTTGGGGGACAAGGGAGTCACTGAGCCCAACCCAGGCCGGGGCTCGGGTGTGGGGGCTTTCCACTCTGCCCCTCCCTCCCCGCCCCGAACCCAGCCACACTGTTGTGGGGGCTGCTCAGGGACCGGGACATCCCACCTCACAGATCCCAGCCTCCCCGAGAGGGCCAGGACCCCCCAGTTCCTCCACGCTGCTCAGGTCCCCTGGTGCCCAGGCCAGACCTCCTCCCACACCCGCCATCTCTCACTTGGACTGAGAAGCAAGGCTTTTGGGACAGACCCTCTTCCCAGGCGTCCATGTCGGCCTATGACCCCCCAGACTGGTGCGTATGTGGGCACAGGCGGCTTTGGGGGTGGAGGGGACAGCGTGTGGTTACACGTTAACCCGAGGAGCGTCCTGTGGACTCTGGGACTGATAACAGGGCTCAGGGAGATGCTTCCCCCGCCCTGGGGATGGCCCCACCTGGCACCGCCGATAAGGTGCCGGTCAGGACC